GAATGAGTCTCAAGGATAAAGCTTAGCTTTACAACCAAGATATAATAATTAGTTGCAACTATTATATAATTTTTACTTTTATGCCTAGCACGGGCTATAATAGTGTATCATGTTACTTTCTTTTTTTTCGCTTTTTCCATCTTTGTTCATTTATATTAGACTATTTTAGAATTTGTTAAAAAGTTTTTTTTCCCACCATGAGGTGTTTTTTTTTCTAAAATGTTTATATCTTTCGTAAACATGGCTTTATTTTTTTTATTTTTATGTATGAATAAGGGTTTAATTATATTGTCGGGCTTAGGTGAAAGAAGTCTGAAAAAAGAGAAGATAGTCATGACAGGTCGTAGGATCTATCTGTTTTGTGCCAAATACAGGTTGGGACTATAAGGAGATAAATCCTACTACAGCAAGTCAAACATAGGTGCTTATAGAGTAACTAGGTTAGCTAAGAATTGTAATTTAGATAATTAGAAGGTGGTATTTGTCATTTAGAGATAGTTCTTATATACTATCTGCTGACAAATTTAGAGTTTATCACTTACCATACAAATTCTTCTTCTTATTTCATATTAGTCATAGTATCTAATATTTAGCCTAATAAATTCGAGATATGACTACCTAATGATTTTTTTTTTAAAAAAAAAAAAAAAAAAAAAAAAAATAATTATGTTACAATTATGATTAAACCAACATATTATTTAAAAACGTGAAGAAAAAATTTTCAAGTAAATTACACTATAAAGAGTAAACATGACAAGTGTTTTGAAAATCTTTGGGCGTGCAATTCTAAAAAGCTGCTAAAAAAAGAAGTTAAGTTTATAAAAAAAAATTTGTAATACTATTTTACCGAGTACAAAATTATTTCTAAATGGAAAAACACAAAAGCAAACTTAGAGAACCATTAAAGCCAGGTGCCATTACAAAATTCAATTAAAAAATTATTACTATTAAGGTTAGGGTTAGATTAGGGTTCGTATAGGCTAAGGTTAGAAGAATCTTATAGGTAAAATCATTCCCCCGATATTCTTTCTTAAATTAAGACATTCATTTCTTGTATTTTTCGTATTTTTTACTTTTTTTTTTTTCGTTGGACTTTGTCGGGCTGATTTGTATAAACAAAAAATTCACGACTTTGATTGGTTACATGCAATGAAAAATCTCGTGAAACACCTGGCTTTAACAAATCCCCAAACTTAAAACTATATTAACCAATAAAATCAAACTTGACCTACATGCATATGGGTGGATTTTTACAATTCAAATATGTCACCTAAATTTGAATAAGATCTTCATGATAACTAAAAATAGATTAACCAATAAAAATCATGGGAATCTGTATAACCAATCAGATTAATTAAAAAATTTAATATACAATTAATATTAACGAAACTTTACAAGAATATTTAACTACATAGTTTTGATTTTATAATATTATAAATAAACAACTCATTTATATTATTTATTATTTAACTCAAACATAATGCAGTACTGTATTTATCTAATAGTTCTATATACTTATAAAGTTATAAAGTACAAAATATTAAAAAATATATAGAATACTTATAAAGCTTTTTTTTATTAATAAAAAAACAAACCAAAATTAATTTACACTAAATAATTTAATTGTCTCTTACATTGTTAATTAGCTATTTCATACTTGTCTACAGTTTATTAAGCCGTAAACTATTTAAAAATTGGTCTAATTATATATTGCAGTGCTCTAATTTTACATAATACATCTTCAACATTGTTACTAATAAAAGTTTCGCTCATTTTAAAATCTTGAAAAACTATTTTGGGATCTATAAAATTAAGATTTTATTGAGTATAAATACAAATTTTCAAACCACTATATTAGAGAACAAAAAGCAAAGGCTTTGTAAAAGTAAATAGCATTTTAACTATTATATCAATAAACAAATCTTGGTATTGCAACTAGTAAAAGTTTTGTCTATTTTGGGATCCCAAAAAACCATTTCAGGATCTGTGAAATTAAGATTTAGTTGCGTATAAATACAAATTTTTAAGTCGCGATAATAAAGAAAAAAATGCAGGGGTGTTGTAAAAGTAAATAGCATTTTAACTATTATATATACGTGTTCTAAATAAATCGACCAATCAATATAAGCCAAATTCGCAATAGTTACAAATTTTACTAATCTAATTGGTACAAATTGTGATGATCAAATTCGAAAATATCACCAAAATATAAAAATCCGCTTATATTAATATGAAGGATACTATGAGTTACTGAACGATTTATTTATACAATAGTAACATTTTTTCTTACATATTATTCCACCAAAATTTTATAGATTTTTCAACTCATGACTACTATGTTTGGCTGCAGCCGGTGGTTGATACATGGAAGTGTGAAGTGGAGCTAGCATTTGAAACTTTGTGATCATATTCACTATGCATGTGGTAAGCATGAAATAGAGCTAGCAATAAAACTTTGCAATTCTATAACATTGTGTCTGGCTACAGCTGACAGTTGTTATAGAAGTATAAGTAGAATATGCTCATGCCTAGCTACAGCTGGTGACTATTCTTGCTTATAAAGGTAACCATTATGATTGCATCTGGCTACAGCCGGCAGTTTTGATGAACTTTTCATTATCTATAATTTTCAAAGCATTTATTTAATTATCATACTAAGTTTTAATCACATTTTTATTAGTCTATTAAGGTATAGAGTGAAATAGTATGATGCTATCAAAGAGAGTACGTAGATCCTAGGCCATTTAATGAGAGTTCTAGCATCATGTTTATTTCTTTGCTCTCTCACTTTTCAGGTAAATTCTTAATGTCTCTTGCTAATTACGAGATTCTCGCATCAATACTCTTTTTCTACAATAGATTTTCAAAATAAACTATCCTTCACATATCTATAGAAGTTTCATTTATCTATATCTTTCCCACACACACAGACTATATAAAATAATTTCCCACAAGAGAACTTCCTCAAGATTAAGAATAAAACTGGAACTTTATACTTTAAATGTTATCACGAGTAAGTAAAAGAAGAGAAAGAATTAGAAGAAAGTAGACAAATTAATGGATGATTTAGTAAATTCCATAGTAGAAGTGGCAGACTATCATAAAAAAATTATATAATCTTTGATTTTAGCCAGTCAAAATTTTTGTTAATCAACTAATAAAATCAAACTTGACCTACAGGGGATACTATGAGTTACCGAATGGTTTATTTATATGACAATAACATTTTTTCTTATATATTATCCCACCAAAATTTTATAGGCAAAAACTAGTTTTCCAACTCATAACTACTACGTCTGGCTGCAGCTGATGGTTGATATATGAAAGTGTGAAGTGGAGCTAGCATTTGAAACTTTGTGATCATATTCACCATGCATAGTTATATCTGGTGGTAAGCATGAAATAGAGCTAGCAATGAAACTTTGCAATTCTATAACATTGTATCTGGCTATAGCTGACAGTTGTTATAGAAGTATAAGCAGAATATGCTCACGCCTGGCTATAGCTGGTGACTATTCTTGCTTATAAAGGTAATCATTATGATTGTGTCTGACTACAGCTGGCAGTTTTGATAGGCTTTTCATTATCTATAATTTTCAAAGCATTTATTTAATTATCACACTAAGTTTCAATCACATTTTTATTAATTTATTAAGGTATAGTATGATGCTATCAAAAAGAATATGTGGATTCTAGGCTATTTAATAAGAGTCCCAGCATCATGTTTATTTCTTTGCTCTCTCACTTTTTAGGTAAATTCTTAATATCTCTTGCTAATTATGAGATTCTCACATCAATACTCTTTTTCTACAATAGATTTCCAAAATAAACTATCTTGCACATATCTACAGAAGTTTCGTTTATCTATATCTTTCCTACATACACAAACTATGTAAAATAATTTTCCACAAGAGAATTTCCTCAAGGTTAAGAAATTTTAAACCTAAGTATAAAATCAGGAGATTAGTAACTGAGATAAACAAGCAATACAATATTTTCGATTTACACTTACCACTATACTTAATTTTCATAATATCCTCTCTGCCTCTTATTCAAGAAGTTTGTTGCTTGTTTTTTTGTTGCCAGTACTATACTGCACTAAACATCAACTGTTTGATATACCATCAGATTTCGTGCAAATCAGGTAAAATTTGCAAAGCCACAAACGCTGATGGTTATCACAATTTTCTCGATGAATATCAAATGTTAAAAAGATCAAGAATGGTAATATGTCTTTGAGCATCTATAGAGCTGGAAAATCAATTAACATTGTAATGATGTTCTTTTAGAAGCTAGTAAACCATTATACCCTATTATTACTTTGCGGATTATACGAGTTTGTTTGATTGTAAATATCAACAACGTAAATAATGGTAGTAGATTAAATTAGTTTGATTAGCTTCATTTGATTTTTATTTTACTGTGGATAAAAGGGCTTACTAACTAAGGTTTAATCTTTTATATAATTTGCAGGCATTACAAAATTCAGATCATAATAGACGCTACCTATCAACATCATACAAATCATGAACAGTTCATGTAATATATACTGGAAAAAAGTAATCAAACAGTCCCGTAAAAGAAATTGATGGACAAGAATCATGTTGCGAGAGGTTTGCTAAAGCAAATAGACTAACTCGATGTATATAATGAAGTTTGTATATTTGTGAATGTATTTTTCTAATTTATTTTTGCGTCATTTAGAAGGGATGCCCAGATTAGCCTCAGAACTTCGCCTGTATTCTAAGAATGATATTTATCTGCTAATTAAATCTAGAGCTATAAGATTATAAGATTATAGAATATCAATACTTTTGGATGCTATCAAACAAATGCCTTAACTTTTGTATCCTTTTAGGAATAACAATTTCTGGATTTTCATCATGCTATATCTTAATAAGAAAAACTTCATTATCTTAACATATGCATCGTTTTTTCCAATCATGATTAACAATATCCTCAAGTTTTTTAATATCTTTATACCAGCTAGTGTGATGATGTCAATGTTGGGCCCCTTGCACCTCTAATGCGATTCGATGATGTTGGAAGAAAGCATCAAGTTCTAATTCTTCCATAAATGATGGATAATATTCAACTATGGGCTCCTTATTAAAAAGTATCTGGGCTATTAGAATACATTTTTCCTGAAATTTTTGATTTTTCTTAAATTCTAGTTCTTTTTTAAGTTCATCTATGTTCTGTTTTAACTTCACATTCCCCCCTTTAATTTTGATGTTTTCTTTTTCAAGTTCAGTAATCTTATCTATCAATTTTGAATCTAATTCATTAATTTTGGTTTGTGAAGACTCAGAAGCTTCAGAGTTTATCCAGAAATTGAGTCTAGTTTTTTTCTTATATCTTTTATATAACCTAGAACGAAACTTATCTGTTAAAATACTTGGCAATCCGATTAAATTAGCATGC